CCGGGACCGGCCATACGCCCAGTTTACACAGCAAACGAAAAATTATAGAAGTGTATAGGATGACTCCGCGTTTGAATATCAAATCTTAAAGTTTTATCATAACTGTATTGAATCGTGCTTTGTTTTTATATTTTTCGGCTCTATACCTATGCACGACTATATTTAAAGTCAAACTCAATGGTGTCTTACAAGATACATTATTTTGATTTTCTATATTCAACAGAGAGATAGAAACTCGACCCTGTCGAATGGTGCAGTCATATATGTCTCTAGAAATTATTAAAAAAGGGTTCAGTCCAATGGTGCAGCAACTTCGGATTCCTATTCTCCTCAGAGACATAGAAACTCAAGCTTTTCGAATTTTACTGGCAATGATTTTCGTTTATGTCCCCGAGAATTATACAAAAACAGCGCAATGCAATATCGCAACGGTTTCGACTTCTCTTTACTCTACCAAGTTATAGAAACTGGAGTCTCACTAATACTGTTCTAGTCAATATTTCTGAGAGTATAAAAAGAGGGTGTAATATTGCAAGAAGTTTTGATCTTTTGATGGATGAATTTTCTTATTTCTCCATATGATTTTGTTGAAAATAGTTCCTTTCTTTGGTTCCTTTGTCTGATTTTTATTTACCGTAACAACTCAGGTATGTAAAGCACAGAGGATATGATGTTAAGTATATTTATGTATTATATAAAGTACCTATATTTGTATTAAAAATGTAAGAGGTTATGTTGAAAAATGATCGATATGCTATTAAACTTTAATAATTTAGTAATTAGGTCTGTTGGTAGACCCTGCACTATCTCCACTGGTATATGTTAATTTTGTAATATTTAAATCTGGTTGATGAAAAAGTACACACCAGTGCAGGTTATTGTAGCATCTACGAACAAATGAATTAATGGCCCATTGGCAATTATTCCTTTAGGAAAAATATTCAACACAGCTTAATTAATTAATAAAATGAAAAAAATCATAATCATGTCGTATATAGTTTTTTTTAAGCATAAAATAATTTTTATATTAATACTAGTTCAAAAGTGAAATTACGACCTCTATACTGTGGAGAGTATTGAAACGCTCGACTGACGAATACAACTCTATACCGTAGGGAGATTTAGAAATCGATATTCAAACGTGGCGTCATCCTATACACCTCTATAATTTTCCGTTTGCTGTGTAGGCTAGTGGAGAGCGGGACAAAGAGGGTAAATGTTGATTTTTGGAGGACATTGAACTTACCCAAAACTAAGTACAATCCGGAATCCTCCTCAACCGGGGCTTTAGTAATAACCCCATTCAATTGGGATTCATGAATGGGGGTAGAAGTGAACCTGTCCTTGTTGGTGTAGGTATTTCTGAACGTCTCTGTCCGAGTCTGTTTCCGGGTCCTGGTAACCACTTTAGAACGCTGGTGATTTATTGTAATTTTCTAATTTAAATAATTAAGTTGAATAGCTATTTATTGAAAACGACTATTAGTTGTTTTCTTGTTGTGGTATAAATTGTGTTTACGCATTCTTTTCTTATTTAACAATTACAAAATTGTATTTTTTATAATTTACTGCTTCTACCATTTGTTTTTTTACACTCGAGAGCAGTTTGTTTATTGTTAAATTAATGTATTTTACCACTTTTAATTAACCTTTAATTAAATCTTAGCAAACATTTTATTTTGTACTAAGTTTGTTTTATATGTAATTAATAATATACATAGGATAAAGCCGGCCCTGTGGTGTAACGTATTAAAATTGGGACTGTCTACGTATCCTACTAGTAGGATGTATAGCCAGTTCGCTAAATATCCTACTAATAGGACAAATAGTACCAAAGCTAAATATCCTACCATTCAGCGTATTTCATAAACCATGATATCAAATAAGAAAAAAATTAAGCCAGCTAACTAAGTTTGTGTTAGTTTTGGTTTAAAAAAAGAACTAAAGGGAGCCTTAAGGCTCCCTATTCGGAATATAAAACCTGTCTTTGATTATTCACATTGGGTTTTTTACCAAATAATTTGTAATTTAAACATTATTTTAATCATCCTTAATATTATTTAAATAAATGAAAACATTTATATTCTATATGTTCTAACATATTAGAACAGAGGGACAAAATCTTTTATTTAAATATATATTGAATGTAAAATAACACATCCACTCTTAATTTAATTAATAATAAATCATCAATCAGTGGTCATTTAATTCCATTATAGAGATTAGGATTTTAAAGTGTCGAAAAAAAACCGGAAAAATTGGGGAAAAAATTTTATTGCCAAGGTTATGATGATTAGCTGTCATCTTGGTTATGCAGGTACACTACATTGTGCCATACCAAACCAACCCAAACTTAACAACCCAACCCAACCGACCCCGCCTCATTGGGCAATAGAGGTATAATATATCTAAGGGCAGGGTGTTAAGTTTGGGTTGGTTTGGTATGGCACAATGCAGTGTACCTGCGTAACCACAGTTACATTAAAAAGTAAATAAAAACACAAAACAGCCCCACACCCATAAAACTAATGAAAAAAACGCAGGGCAACGTCCGCCTCAGACGTGGAAATAGGACTTTTCACGTACAACGTACAAATAATAATTGACAAAGTTTTGATCTTCATACTTCTTTATAAATGTCTGTATCTCGAAAAAGGAATTGAATTTCTCTCCAACGTTGCAATCCATTATAATTTAATTATTGCAGTCAAACAAATGGTGTAAAAACCTAAACTAACCTCAATTTTGAGTGTTGTTTTTGCCGAATTCTGAATAATAGTAGGATATTTAGCCTTACTACTATTTGTCCTATTATATAAACTATAGTCGGATATTTAGCGAACAGGCTATAAATCCTACTAGTAGGACACGTAGACAGTCCCATTAAAATTGGAATACGGCCCTAATGGCAGGCGTGTAACCATGTTGCTTAAGTTTAATAGATGGTTTTTTTAGGTTAACCTAAAAGCACGTAACAAGACTAATTAGTTTTGTTTATTAAGAGACTGTTTATTTTACTTTCGTTTTTTAAATAGGTGATTCCTTGACCTGTCCCCTCTCACTTTATTATTTCCGTGTCCGCACTGTGTTCACGCGTTGAGAGATTGCCTTTTGAGGAATTATTTAAGCCTTTAGAGAACAGGTACCCTGATTTCACCTGTACAGGTAGGGTGGAAGCAACTGTTTTGGCCACCGACCCCGTTGTGGCCACTTCGTTCGGAGGTTATGTAAAAGGTGTTGTAATATGTTGACAAGGGCTTTCTCAGCTACATTGCACTTTTTATTTAAAAGCAGCTCTTGAGGTTTACACAATTTTATTTTTTAAATCAGCCTGAGATGATTTTAATTACATTACTAAAATTAAAATACTATATTAATTAAAACTAAAAAATCTTTTTTTATTTACTTACTATCGCTAACAAAAAAAACTCATACAGCTTAAAAATCTAGTGTTCCTGATTTTCTATCATTTCGTTGGAGTAATTATGGCTTTTAACATGATACGTCACATTTAAAAGGTCTAAAATTAAATACAAAGTTTAAAAAAAAATAATATTTCGTCATCCCTCTGTTTTTGTCAATTACTGCCCGCAAACGGCAAAGCATGGAAGTCGCCGTCTTGCTTTATCTCGTTCCAAATGGCTTCAATGGCTTGCCAGAGTTCGTCTGCATTGTTTGGTTGAAAATGTTGCTAAAAAAGTCATATTGGATGTGACAAAGCTCGATGTCAGCTTGACATTGACGGAAAAGTTTTATTCACACAGCCACAATATAGCTGTATGAGTTTTTTTTGTTAGCGATAGTACTTGAATTTGCAGATTTTTATGATTTTTTACATGTCATTTTTTACACCTGTCATTTTTGACACATGTTATTTTTGACAATATCACCTTTGACACCTGCAATTTTATAAACATGCAAGTTTTTTGCATGAATTTAAGGTCAATAAAAACGTGGAACGCAAGGCCAAGCTAAAACCTGGCTAATTAAATTCTTTCTGTTAGATAGGGTGTCATGTTATAAGTTGTCCCACCTTGGGTGAATAATTGTTTACCCCAAAGTAAGCAGGTTTCTTCTTCATAACTTTTGCAAAAATTCTACTTTTTTGAATACAAAAATTATGAAAAGTTATTTAATTCTTATGCATTTCTTGGTCATGACACTGGATTTATTTAAACCATGATCTACTTAACGTTTAAGTAGAGTCGACCAGTTGTTTAACTGTGGTTCTCATCGGTACTGCTGTCGCTGGTTTTAACGGCCAACTATACTTCGAATGTCGATGGTTATTGCTGTCGCAAACGAGATCAGTCTTTGCCTATTAATTTCCTAATAATTGCGTTATTTTTGTATGTAAAATTGGTGTGAACTGGCGATTTGGCAAAAAAGCTACTTTAAACAAATACGTAGCCAGCACATTTATAATGGGCGCACTAAGGGCAAATTTTCGGGGGCGGGAAAATTTGGAACGTTAGAAGAAAGATTTTTTTATGCTATTAAATTCCCATGGGCGAAAGTTAACCTCTCCCACTAGTGTGAGCATTTCGCCATCGGGCTGAAGTTAGTTTTAAGTTAAAATTGGATGAAAGTGAGGTGTCAGATTTATATAAAATAAAATTGGCTTTAAATTCCTTGTGGTAGTTGAATAAAATATGGTGTGCGACTATTGGTCAAAAGAGGAGATTCCATTCGCGTGTTACCGCACTAGTCGCACAATATAATATTTTTCATTCTACTACTACTACTATAACTTATTCTACTACTTGGAGTAAATCCGGCCCTGCTCGCAGAAAGGCAACCAACACCGTCCGGGGGCTCGTTAGTAGAGGTCTAAAAACAATGTATCTACCCGCCAAAGGTACTATGGCGTAAAGTTGCAAATGTCGTTGGATACTTTTCGTAAATTGTAATTAAGATAATAAACCATTTGTTCTTTTAATTTTTAAAAACATAAATCTAATCCAGGAATTGATCTTAAATTTTGATTTTTAACAGTATTTAAAAAAAGACCATTTAGAGAACTGTAAATTGTGAATTTATAATAAAAATTATGTTAATGCATTTATTAAAAAAAATTGTATACAACAAAATTAAGACTTGTGAAGAACTTTGTATTGGAATGTTGGGTATGTTTTAAGACGTAATAATTCCAATTCAGTTTGAAGTATCATGATTTTATCGTGGTTGTCCTGCATTTGCTGCACAATATTTCTCCTTTGAACAATTGTTTTCATCCTAAAAATTTTAATTTATCAAAAAGTGTTTTCTGGGAAACTTTTGAATAATCAGTAGGACCTTATTTTTGGACCACAATATAAGGTACTCTAGTTTTCATGGAAAACTAAGGTCTACTGATTAATAAATGATGGTTATACTCGTTTTTACTAATATTATTTAATATACCTTTCTCGTTTAATACGCAAGTCCTTTTGATTTATTGTTGGGTCAATTTGCGTTTTTAATGTGTTTATCGCAATATTGGCATTTAAAATATCCTTCTTAACTATTTCATCCCTTTCTTTCATAATAGACATTTGCCTTCCAAAATTATTTATGTCCCTATGTAGATCTTTTATTTGCAACATATAAGCATGTTTTTGTTGTTCCATTTCCATCTCCAGAGTGTTTGTTTTTAAACTACCCCCTAGGGATTTTTGTTTGAGATAAACTTGAATTTCTTTAGACAGCTAAAACGTTTGAGTCTTTTAAATAAGTATATGCATAATATATGAGTTTTATAGAAGATATTAGGGTTTTGCTTAATTATGGTGTTTTAAGTTGTCCAATGTTTAAAAAATATTATTATTAAGGGTTGGCACTGAGCATTTTTTTTATAAATGCAAAATTTTGTTTCCGGTTTTGTTTAAATTTTGGTATTGTATACAGGGTGTCCCAAAATAAGTGGGCAATCTCCCGAATTTAGATATAACACATAAAAATAATAGTTCCTATACATTTTTTTCTCCTTCGGAGATACCAGCCCATAACGGACGCCCCAGGAAATAAAAAAAAGGATTAAAAATTTCAAAACACATTTCCATCTGACACTGACATCATTATTTAAATCGGTAAATGTAAAAAAAAACATTAAAAAAAATGTAATAAACCCCATTGTACAAAAACATTTTTTTTTCTCGTAAACAGTACCTACATTTTATCGATGTCGATCAAGATTACCTATTTTTAGTTTAAGGTTTAAGCTGACTAAAAATATTATTGTTGTGCCTTTATAGTACAGGGTATAGGATACTCTGTTAGAGCCAGTCCGTCCCTGGCAAACTAAATAGCCAAATGTGATTTTAAGGAAATTTTCCTAATAAACAATATATTTAAAAATTATTCAATTCCACATTGTAGTTAAAAAGTTATTAAAGAACGATTTCCAGGGGCGTCTGTTATGGGCCAGTATCTCCGTATAAGGGGCGTAGGAAAAAAAATTATAGGAACTCATATTATTTTTGTTTTGCCCACATATTCAAGGGTATCTCTATACGCTCTATACCCCATACTCCAGAGTCCGGACCCAAAATAGGATGATACAAGGGGGCTTTAAATATTTTTTTTCCGAAGTTTATTAAAACGTACCTATTAATTTTATTGTTTTTTTTTTCACTAGTTTAGTGACGGCTATAAATAAGCAGAAGGGATATAAATGTAACGTCTGATGTAATTTTTTTTGGGATTTTGTCTGCGACTAAGGTTAAGACAACCTAGTTGTTTTGTTAGATAGTAAATGTATTTAAAAGGTTTTTAAACTCTTGAACAATTTTTACTAGATGGTCGGTTTTGCTGCATAAACCTATTAACTGTAATAATAAAAATATGACAATATTTTTTTTAAGTGATCTTGTTAAAAGGGTTGGGAAAATTTCACTTTTTGCTTGTACTTGAAATTTCACTTGAAATTTTCACGACATTTATGAAATTTATTGAAACTTTCAATAAATTTCAATCACTTTAAGTGTAATATATTAATATTGAAATAAGCCCACTCGGTGACCATGGCAAATTGCCTCTCTTACCTCCTACCCCTCTGTGGCCCCTGCACCAATAATATAAATAGTAAATACCTATGTTTACCACAAATTTCTTGAGATTTCTTTTTAAAATATTTTTAAAATTACTCAAACTAAGAGAGATATAGCAATTTTTGGTAACCTAATGAGATTGTGCCACTTTCATTGTTTTATATTTATATATATTTATTATTTTTATATATTTTACTGAAATTTTACAAAAATTAAAGAAACTTCATCAAAATTTTATAAGCCAAAGGCATTTTTTATCCGTTTTCCGATGCAATTATAGCAAAAGTAAAAGGGCCATTCCACTTTGTAATAGTCCCGTCCGTTACGCTTTAAATTATTATTTTTTAAGGAATTAAACAGTCAATCACGATACCTAATTTTGCCAAATAAAAACCCTGTTAAACAGCTTTTGTTTAGAACTATTTATAAAAATTTGACATTGGTAATATAATAAAACAATATTATTTTGTAAATAAAAACACGGCAACTGTCCTATCCGTTAAGCGTGGAATGGCCCAAAAGTTTAAATTAATCATGACTTTAAAAAAAATTTAAAGTCTGATTTAATTTACAAATTAAATTGGTAACTGAATTAAATTATTTAAATTAATTTATGCATATAAGTAACAATAATTACTTATAGTGTTATTCAAATCCAAGCCGAACTAAACAAAAACGCCCAGACGCTTGATAACTTGTTCTTATTGGTCGATTCGGAATCTGTTGTAAATTATTATTAAAGGTTACAGGGGAGGCCGCATGTGAAATTTATGCGAAATTTTCAGTAAATTGCTAAACTAAAGTTTCACAGGCAATGTTGAAATTTTCGAATTGAAAATTTCATTTAAAATTTTTAAAAATTTCACTTTTCCAACTAAATGAAATATTTCAAGTTTGAAACTTTCAAAGTTGAAATTTTCATTTGAAAATTTCAACTGTCCCAACCCTACTTGTTAATATGGCAATTTATAATCTAAATATTGACATACCTATTGCCATTACTGTCAAAGAAGTGAAACCCGTAATTATGTTGTAAATATTTTAGTACCCTGAGCCGTTTCTTTCAACACAGCAAATTTTCCATTATTTGCATTACTTTCTTACCTTTACCTCTCCTTTACCTTTATAAATTAAATCTAAGAATATTATAGACTTTATTACTTTTTGGATTTTTGCCTCGTTTTAAATATTTTTATACCTACCCAGACGCCTGGACGTTCTACCTCGAGAAAACTTCACACGTCAGGGAAGACGCGTCTGATTTCCTGATCGCTTCCAATCCGGAGTCTCATGATCTTCATCACTGGCAGGGGAGTGATGTGGGGACTAAACCCGTAATTATGTTGTAAATATTTTAGTACCCTGAGCCGTTTCTTTCAACACAGCAAATTTCCCATCATTTGCATTACTTGCTTACCTTTACCTCTTCTTTACCTTTATAAATTAAATCTAAAAATATTATAGACTTTTTGGATTTTTGCCGCGTTTGAAATATTTTTATACCTACTCCCTACTCCGACCAACAAGGGAAGATCGGAGAGCTGTCATCGATCACCACGTCCTAATTCTTCGTCTTGAATACATTGGCTCCGGGTAACTACACGCTAAGTTTGTATATAGTTTGTGAATAAGTGTGTATATAAAAAAGTTAAGTTTGTATATACCAAATCAATCAATTCGCTTACCTACCCGCACACCCAGTCGCTAAAGAAGTTTACTAAAATAAGATCAACATTCTAAATTTGTAACTTTATTTTATCGTTACACATGGATAACTATATAAATATTTTTTTCTGGCTATACCTTTCATCGAATAAAAAAAAATCAAAAAAGAAAAAAGGTTTTAAATAATTTCATTTACATAACAAAGATCAAAAGGATTTATAACATATTTGCTTATTTATAGCGATTCACTAGACTACTAGAAATTGTAATTTTAAAATTATTTTAAAGTTATTAATTAGCACGTTTTTAATAAATGTGCAAAAAAACAATTTAAAAAACTGTGACAACCTTTACCGGCTAAACCAAGCTAATATCGACCTATTTTAACATCCGGAGTCTGTCATCGTTGAATAGACCTTTTAGAGACACCCTTTATAATTCATAAAATATAAAATAAAATTTGCTGTTTTATCAAATGCATCCCCATTCTAAAATCGTCATTTATTTTACAATTCGGCCAGTGTTTCCGGACATTTTATAAACTGGCCTTTTAAGTAAGAGCCACTTTGTTAAATAGTAATAAAGTCTGTAAAAGTGTTTTGTTTTCTGTTGTAATTTTATCTAACCCATTATTGTAATGTAATGTAGCCTCCAAATAAAAAATTTCTGGACTATGGTCCAAGCAGGAGTCGGCCAGATTGGGCCTTTGACTCCTACTTATCACTTAAAAAAAAGCTTTAGTCTGTGTTTTTGTAGAAGCAATATTTATAACAATTGCTATAGCATATACAGGGTGTCCCAAAACTTCAATGTTTAATAAAAAAATATAAAAAATGTATTATTGGCAAAAATTTTCAAGTTGTGGAGGTCACAAAACTCATTTTAAAATTAAACTCAGCTGGTATATGAAAGTGGATTTCGGAATTGACAGAAACATATTAAAAATGTAATATAGGCAAAAAAATTCGAGTTCGCATACTATTAGCGCTATATTTTCAGGACACCCTGTAAATGTATAAATACATAATATTGTTATGATGAATCATTTTATAGTTCACATACAGAGTGGGCCGATGGAAAGTTTTCACCAGGTTTTTTTAGGTATTACCTACGTAAAATTTAACCCGGTGGGGGTAGTAGTTATGTCTAAAATTGTTAAAGGGAAGGGGGGTTGAGTAAAGTTTAAAATTGCTGCTATCGTCCCCGATGATATAGCTTCTCAAAATCTTGGAAATAAACTAGTAGGAGTAAAAGCGATACTTGCCTTTCTTAATAAAAATATTCAAGTTACAAAGTTTAATTATTATTATTAATTAGGTGTTAAATTTATCTAAGAAACTGTTTTATCTTTTAACTTTCTTGCAATAATAAAATCGATTTTCTATCTCTTCTATACATTCTGCAATATATTAGTAGTTATCTTTACACTTTAAAGTTATGCGTTCTTGTTAAACTTAAAGAGAAACTTGCTGTGTTTTATAAACTGTAGATTATAAATGGCATCATTAATAAAGTCCGAAGGGTAAAAAATAGGGGACTTTGCAGGCCACTTTATACATCCTCTACAGCCAAAGCAATGATTCCTTAATTTGTCATTTAGAAATTGCTGAAAGGGTGCTTCATATTATGTCATGCATAATGGGGTGAAGCTTCATCTTATATAAAAACATTTTATCTTGTGAGGATTTGTTCTCTTTGGCAATAACGTCCCTTATTCTGGGAATAATTTTTTTGTGCAAGTATGAAACACTTAATAATAAGGATTTAATTTTTCAGTATCGATAATCATGTCGATTGAACAATCAATGTAAAAAATGAGCATTTATCTAAAAAGCAGATTTTGAAAAGGAAATTTGGATTGCCGATACACATTTTTTCTATAAATGTTAATAATTATAATAATAATAATAATAATAACCTTTATTGCACAACAGTACAAAACCAAAAAGGACATTCAAATTAACAGATAAAGTTTATAATATTTTTTCGGTCAT